ACTGCACTTCTAGAACTAACAAGTTACATTCCAGTCTGGGCTTAAATGTGCATGAAGCTTTCTATTGTTTTCAGGAGGCAAAATCAAATGTTCACTTCCACATTTCTAATTTTTCTAATTCTTCAATCAATACGGCAAATAATACAACTGAATGCATCTGTCAACACTGTAATACTGGATGTTCCTGCTCTGACAACTGATGGAAATTGCAGCCATTTTTATTTTGCTTTTAACATGCTTTTTCTTCTGTTTAGAAATTAGATATTGAAGGGGGGATGGGGTAAATGCTTGAGCTCAGCTAGCCATAACAACAATGCAGCTCAGTGGGAAACTCAAGGACACAAACTGATAATGTTTTGGTGGGCTGAGGAGCTGGGAAGAGAGCCTGGCTCCTGACTAATTGGAGAATGTGATTTATGACTGCTTTGTGGGATGGGACTTGCATTCTGTTACTTAATATCTGGAGGAAGGGAATCTAGTTTTGGGTTCAACTATATAGTGCTGATACTTTGTTTCCTGAATAAAATGTTCTTTGAGGAAGAATTCTTGCCTTGAAGTTCTTTTGATGGGTTTCATCTATCGAAGCCATGACAGCATCCTCTTCAAAATGTTGTAAAATAGGTACTGAAGAGCAGAGGCATACTCAGCAGTCCTGAAAATTAAAATTCCATGTTTTTTTTAAAAAAGAGCAAAAATATAAAGCTACCTTGTTAGTCATGTGACTGGTCAAGCTCATATCAATACACAGCTGAGGCCCTGTAGCCTTGGCCTCTAGAAGACGATCTTTTGCAATGGCTTTTAAATCTCGCTTACTAAGTTGAGGAGCAGTGCCTGAAATGAAGAAAAAACAAATGATCCAGTTGCTCACTATTGAACAATGTTAAGCAAACAGGTGAGGCATAAGTCATGATTTTTCACAGTAGCAATAATTTCTTTGAAAGGCACTTCAGTGCCTATAAATCAAAATCCCTCTAGAAAAAAATGTTGCTTAGCCTGCCCTACACTTCCTTCCAGGTGAACATTACTGTAAAGTCCTGCTTTAGCTAGCACTCCCAAGAAAGCCATTGTTTCAAAAGGAACTTTTATTGAGAGACAGTGATAGCAGAAGAGCAAGGCAAGATCTGAAGAATTCCCCTACAAAATGTTACATTAAAACTCTCACTTCAAACCCCTCCCCAGTGCCCAATGGTTCAGTATGATTTCAGCCAATCCACAGGTGTGAAGTTGTTATGGGAACCAGAGTGATAAAGCTGCAGTTCTCAGGCATTTCATTTTGTCTCTTCCCAGCCGAGTAAAGACCGATGGCCCTAGGCACATTCCTCCTCCCTTTCACACCCAGAGAAATGCATCAAAGGTGACAGAACAAAGTAAAGGAAATGCATCCCAAAGCCCACAGAGCTTCCCCCTCACCAAAGAGTGAAAGACAGAATGGCAGTACCTGAAAACAAAAATGAAATGAATATGTAGTTTGAGGGTCTGACAATTACAAAATATTAGTTGAGTAGAGAAGCCTTTCAGAAGACCTGTCTGCCATTATGGATCTCCTCACAGAAAACCTAAGTAAAGTTCCGTGAAACTTTAGAGTACAGAGAGCAAACTATTTTCTATAGAAGACGGAGACAGAAATTATTCTGTGTTTCTTGTACCTTTTTGTTCAGCATGTTTCGCTTTACGTCGTTCTCTTTCACATTTTCTTTTATCCTTCTTTGCAGAAACAATCTTCTCCCAATGCCGTTGTTTCCTTAGAACATTCCTCTTTATAAAAAATAATAATCATACATATTAGGCAGAAAAGAAGCTATTTGCAAAGATTTTCTTATCAGAACTTGATATTAGAGGTGCATATGCATTTGGATATATGTATGTTCAATTGATTAAACTTTTGCATATGTCCATCTAATGCAAGTATACACAGTAGCTATCTCTCCTTTCTTTTTCTATCTCTCACACATAGAAACTATTATAAATTGCAGCTATTTTACACAGACAGAAAGGAATACATAATTATGTGCTGTATTTTTTCCCAGATAACTGCTAATAAGTGGCAGAATAGTTATGAAATATTTTTTCTGCCACTAAAAATGTTGGGAGTACAGTATTATTTGCTTAGTGCTTCCAATCAATAGCAGATGTTGTATGTAAATGGAATTTTAGCACACTGCTTGCCTTTCTAAATGCATAAAGGACCTTTGTGGAAATCCAGGAAAGTTCTGCTGTATAAGTATTTTTATAGCAACATTTGTATTACTATGATTGGCTGATAGTCAGCCAGATATTTAGATTGGTTTTGGCATTTTTATCCATCAATTTAGGTTTTCCCAAGGACCTGCTTATTATTATGATGATGATTGGTTTCATAGTGAGCCAGATGTTTAGATTGGATTTGGCATTTTTATCCAAATCTATTGAGTCTTGTCTTGTTGTTAAAGGTATCATCGCAGGATATAAACTGTTCCAAATAAATCTGCCTTTTTGCAATTGAGCGATTGTGATTTTGTCAACGGTGTTCAAGTGGTGCTCCAGTTTTATTCTTATTATTAAAGGATCTTTAGGACACTGGTACAGGGAAAGGCTCAGCTGTTGTCAACATGACATTTTTTGGCACCAGCTTAAAAACTTTCCATTGGCCCAGACATTTGGGAGCAAATCTGTTTTGATTCTTGATTGAATGTGTTTTATATTGCTTAAATGGTTATGGTAATTTCACATTTTCTTCATTTGTATTGATATCTTTTAGCTAAAGAGCAATAATGAGCTATTTCAAAACATATAAGTTTAAGGAAAAGTGAACTAAGTGAAATGCTTGAGCTTTTTTGCTGTCTACAAACTGGGAAGGAAGAGATAAAAGGAGTATTCATTCACAATGTATAAGTACCTACCTTACATATCTACAAGTATGCCTTTAAACAAAGCCATTGTTAACAAGACTTTCAGGCCCTTCTTCAATGTAAAATATGATCTCTGTGAAACACTGAGATTCACAACATAAAACCACATTAAAATCACCCCAATTTACTTTTGACATGAATGGCTGAAGGCCACTTTACTTACCGAACACCAATTCTCATTTCCTGTCACCTGTTCACTGGATCTTTCATCATTCCCATCAATTTCCAGAAGCTCAAATGTGCCCCAGAAATTTTCCTCATCTCCATCTCCATAGTTTTGCTGTTGATCAAAATGATCTCCACAAATACTTTTCTCAACTTTCTTCTCAGGATTAGTCATTGGTTTTTTTTCTTTTGTCCAAACTGCTGTGAAAACATAGAAAAAATTATGTTAGATGCTGGACCATAGAATTTAATTGTCAGATAACTAGCCAGCTACTGGAGCTGCTCTCATCCTAAAACAGGATAGTTTCCTTCTGTACTGACTGCAGATTCTGGCTAGTTTTCAAAAGAGCCCCAAATGAGCATGTTATAGCAATCCAATATTGAAATAAGGGCATAATTCACACTGAGTATTCATCCTTTATACAGAAAATGGAAAAGTGTGTGAACCAGCCTTAACAGGTGCTTTTTAGTAGCACGGAAAGCTAAGAATTCTGCATTGCCAATTCCAGATACGTAAAAGAAGCCATATTCGAATTCAAACGCTGGCAATTGTGTAAGAATTTCTGAAGCATGCAATTCCTCCTGCCATATAACGTCTTAAAGGGATCTTTTCTACTTGTTTTTTAAGTAACATTGCACAAATAAAATCAGTGTGTGATCCAGAACAAGATAAGCAAAATATGCTTTATAACTTTTATGAATACGCAACAGCCAAAATGCTTAAGTAATTTAATAGTCATGAATTATTGTTCAGACCAAACGTCAGTTACTCACCTCCCTTTGATTCATTACGAAAAATTAGCTTCACGCTAGTTGATTTCCTTCACCTATAAGGCATCATCCAACGAGACTTCCCTCTACCGGGAACGAGCTGCATTCTGGGGATTGTAGTTTTCATTATGGGCGACGGGAGAGGTTCAAGATTGGGCGGATGGGAGGGTGCGTTTCTTTGATTTGGAGACGACGGGGGCGGAGCTTAAATTTGATTCGCTGGCCATCCGTTCTGAAATGTCATCCTGAGTTAGATTTCTTTATGAAAAGCAAAAATAGTCTTTTCAATTCTGAAACCTATTCTCAAATTTATTGTTTTTCGGGCCACTCTTGATTTCTTTTTATCTTTTGATTTTTTTAAAAAAACTTTTTAATTATAAGTCGCTTAGAGTCGTTGGACATCAGGCGGTCTTTCTGTGATTTGATTGCCATTTCATGTATGCATCAACCATGCTTATGTTAAATACCTTACCTATATCCTAGAAAGGGAGGAGCAGAAATATATTAACCACACATTCTGAGTAACTCCGTGAACTGTAAGCTCACGTGAATAAAGATTAACACAATTGCAGTGTTCACATAATATGCTATGCTTCTCCTCTAAGAAAACATATTGAAGCCTAGTCTGACAAGCTGCCATCTGCATGCTGTTAAACCATAGATAAGGATAGCCCGACTATTTCCAGAGGTTTTGTGCTTCCTACAGACCTAGATGGTGTCATTACCTTCAATTTCTAACTGCCCACGTCCTTACCTCACACAAACCATCTTAAACTGCCACTACTTGTAAAAACACATGATGCACTCAACAATGGATTTAGATTTTTTTTTTCTTTAATGGGTATTTTCTGGGAAAGAAAAAATACACAGGCGCACGCACCTAGCAGCACACATACAACGATTTTGGAAAATAACTTAAAATGTGTTCTAGAAGGAAAGATGGGAAAACTGCAGTTTGGCTATTGATCTGAAAGCCGCTTTCTGCAACTCTATTGTCATTCACAAGAGAATGACCCCATTAAACGAAGCTGGAAAAGTGAGAGACTTGCTCCGATTTCTACCCATTGCATAACTCTCCCTTTAAACATTTCTTGCCATTGGCTACAAAGCCTGCAACTTCCCCCTTGCTGGCGCAGTTGATTTGTTCCTGGTGATTCCACCCCCCCCCCTCAAGGTTAGAAAAGGGGGCGGATCAGTGGACGCGGTTTCTTCCGATCCGAGAGTAGAAGCCTGAAAGTCCCAAACTTCTGTTGTTGCTCTTTCTTTGGGAAACACCACAATGAAGCCGTTTCTCAACAGCCTCCTGCAACTCTGGCCGCGAGGATCTGTTTCGGTGAGTATTACCCTCAATCTAGCCACTTCTGCAGGACTTGGTCACTTCCAGTTAGCTTTTTTTGTCGAGCGAGAATTTTTCCCCAAATATCCCGTTTGATCCAGTTCTCTTCTGCTCTCTTCCCAACTTCCCTTCCAGATATGCGGTGCAATCTTTGTGGAAACCTTTCGAGGCAGAAGCAAACATCTCTTTTGCAACTTGATGCTTCTTCCAAGGCAGCATTTCTCAGCCTTGTCCACTTTAAGATGTGTGAACTTCAATTCTGGGAACTTAACATCTTAAAATGGATAAGGTTGAGAAACACAGTTCTAAGGGTTTAGCTGTGCTATAAAGGGCAGTGCAAAATTGTGACTGGGAGAAGACCTATTTTGAGTTGGGGAATTACCCAACTGTGATGCAGAAAGAGAGTCTAGGATGGGAATGGGCTGGGTGCTTTTTGTTGGGAATTAAAATGGCTGCAGGTAGACACCACTCTCTTCTAATGACAGTATTGAGTTAAGGGCCACAGGTCACCCCAAAGTCTCAGAGAGTGGGGGCAATGCAGCTGTAGGGTCATGCAGAAGGGGTTTTCCCCATTGGTTCCAGTTTGAGGAATAGGTCTTGAATTGCCCCAGGCAATGTCTTCATTCTGGAAGAGAGGCCATTCAGAGCATAGTTGTGTTAAGGAACAGATTGTACCTAGTGATTATTGCAACTGGGTGAACTGTTTATTGGGAAACTGAATGTTGCAAGAGGTGACTGCCTATTGCAAGTACTGTAGGTGTGACTCTAGCTAACAACTTCCCTATAACATTTTTTCTTTGGAAAAAAGTTAAATTTGAGTGGGGGTCTTTGGGAGGTTATTAGAATCGCCAAAGCAGATAATTAAAAGTGCCTGCAGAATGGTAAAAATGTATATGTGAAAATGTATTGAGGTCAAAACTCAAAATTTATAAATGTTATTTTTTGTGTGAATTTAATTATACAATTCAATAAAGAATGCCAATTTAAGACTTTGTGAAATTGCACCATCTGAATATACCTGTTTGCAGATTCAGGGCTATGATCAGGGTGCATACATATAATCTGAAAATGAGACACTTTACATTATTTATACTAGGATGAGGAATGGGGAGGCTACAGAGACAATTTTAGTTAAGAGATTTTGCATAATTGAGACTCCACCTATTTAACCTTTCAACAGGCAGGATTTGGATAACACTAATTTTGTGTGTGTGCCTGAATTATTTTCACTGCAGCTTTCATTCTGATCCATAGTCTACCATTTCTCTTTTCCATTTGACCTAAAAGGAATCTTCAGCCTTTTTTAGCCTAATATCACAAATAACAGCTTCATTGTCAAAAAACAGATACAATAAATTGTGAATAAATCACTGCTAGATCACTACTTATTGCTAAAAGGGTTTTTTTTCCCCTCTGAGCATTTTTTTCACTTTTTAAAAAAGCACTTTTTATTTTCTTATGTATTTTTATCTTCATGTTTTTGGGAGGGTCTGGTGTCAACATGTTAAAAACAAGTTATATAAATAATAAAATAAAAGTGGGTGGGCTGCCAAGTGCCCACATTTGATGACATGACCATGGGAACAATGCAAAAGTAGTAACTCCAATGACTTATCAGTCATAATTACCATTTGTTCAGCACTGTTGTAATTTCAAATGGTCATTGAATGCATAGTCATTAAGTGAGGACTAACTGTAGATGCAGTCCTCTGAATCTGTGCATTCATTCGTTCTTTGCTTCATCCTACTAGTGTTTCTCGGAGGCCAGTTTTTCCAGTAAATTTGTCATTGGTGAGAATTTGTCCCATTGAGCGCCTGGAATTATACAGACCTACTAAAGAGTTTCAGGCAATAAATAATGCAGTTCTAATTTCACTACATTTGGGGAGCATTGATGAACAATATGCCATATATACTTTATTAAATAGAAGATATTCTATATTTCTGTTTGTAGCTTCTGCCACGAACCATGCCTGAGAGATTTGGGGGGAAACACCGAAGTGTAACCTCGATTCATGCATACAACACAAAAGGAGAAAACACCAGGCCAACTGAGCGATATCCAATGCCCAACAAGAAAGATTTACCACATGATATAATGGAACACCTGGAAGAAGCAGAAGTGAAGGTAAAAATCAGTTGGGAAAAAATCAGTTCATAGAAGCTTGTAGCATCTTTATCAACCTCCTTCAACATAAGTGCTCTTCCTATACACTTGACTAGAGTTTGATCATTATCAGATTAAAGAGAATTTAATGTAATTCCTAAACAGTTGCTTTGTTGGACAGCTGGTTTTTAACTCTACATCAGTGGTGGGATTCAGCCGGTTTGCACCACTTCGGCAGAACCGGTAACTAATTTTTTGTTGCCCAGCTCCAGAACAGACTTCCGGAAGCGGCATCCACACAGAGAACTGGTTGTTCACATATTTTAATCCCACCACTGCTCTACATATGAACCTAATGATGATTAAAGATGAGGATTTGATATGCTATCTATTGCATGTTTCTTATTCAGCTAAGTTGCGTACTGAGGTTTAAAATAGGCACAACAATCAGGCTGTGGTTAGATGAGAAACAGGATCAGAAAGATAATACTTTTGTTTAGCCCTTTTCTACTTTTCCAGGCTAACTGATGCCTTTCATAGCATAGTGGAAAAGGGAAATGACAATGAATGGCCAGGTGCTACTTATTTGTTGTCATTCAGACTAATATAGTAGCCCTTTCATGCCATTTCAGAAACCCTCTATAACAGAGGTCCCCAACCCCCAATCCGTGGACTGACACCAGGCCGTGGCATGCCAGAAACCAGGCCGCGCAAACAAGGGAAACCTCTGTGGGATGCAGGAAGCATATAAAACCACACCCCATTCGGTCTGTTGAAAATCCCTCTCTTCACAGAACCCGTCCCCAGTGCCCAAAAGGTTGGGGGCCGCTGCTCTATAAATCTCAATATCTGGTAACAGAAAACTCCCAAGATGAAAGAGTACCTGTTAAGTTTCATTTCTCTTAGTTATTTTGCAGGTTTATTGTTTTAAAGCAACGAATATTTGCTAGAATTTATTAAAAACAGCCTTAAAACTGATCAGCTTATTTGTCCACACAGCCCAATATTATTTAGCTGGCATTTGCTTTCCATTTACCTGGGCCCGAATCCTTTACATCCTTCCACTGAGAAATTAGTTTTTTCTGCTTAAAAAGCCTCATTTGTAAGGCTCAAGTCCTTATTTTGCTAGGATGCTTCAGAAAGAGAGAATTGAGATTACTCAACAGTACCCTTGTATCTGAACCTCAGCTCATCATTTCAAAGATTTGGCAAACATTGTCAGGACCCAAGAATTTCATTCAGTTATTTAGTGTCTCCTAGAATGCAGGATCCATACCTGATTTCTCTCTCTTGGACCTTTTCCTCACTTAATCATCTTGTGTGCAAGTTGAGAATCAGGAATATTTAGTAGGGAATGTTTTAGCACCAGCTAAATTGTTGGTTGTCTTCCTTCTATGGCTTGGAAGGTAGCTGTCTTAAAATGAAAACTCACCCTACTATTTTTAGAGGAGCATTATCAGAGAAACCAACAACAAATCTGAAAACATTATGGTTCAAGAAATTATAATCCCACCAGAATGTCTTGATAGTAAGTGTGGAGAATAATTCTGGATTCCTGGATATTTCCCTGAATAGTCTTGAATGTGATTTTAAGGTGTGTCTGACTATTTCCCCCTCTTTGATTCTCAGAATGGGTTTTTGCCCAATGTGTTTAAAGTGATGGCTAATCGACCAGAAGAATTTAGGGTATTCTTTACCTATCACGATGTCATCATGAACAAGAAAACAGGTATGAGTAGCAGTCAAAACATGGATGCTTTGAAAAGATTTTTCTAAACCAATTGCACTAAATTGCATTCCAGATGTGTTCCTAAGAATGTAGGTGTAATTCAAGAATCATTGAACCAAAGAAGGTTTGAGTCAACAGAGATAATTAAACTACTGTGATATCCAAAAGCTTTAAAATCATCTTAAGGTGATTCAGTAGGGCTCTAATACAAAAGTAATTAGCTTCCCAGGATCCTTTGCTTATATTAGGGAGCTAGTTTTAAACTATTGAATGCAATTTCTCATGTTCTTTATCTGAGTACTAGAACCTGCTAAGATTGCTGATGTCCTTTTTGAGATTATTGGGAAGCTCAGGGGAGATTTAATTAAAATTTCCAATACATGTCACAAAAGTAAGGTACTTTTTGCAATAAAGGCTATAATTCAGAATGTGAAACTGGTTATCTCTGGTAGGAAAAGTGGCTGAAGCAGAGATCTTATATAGCAGTGATGGCGAACCTTTTAGAGACCGAGTGCCCAAACTGCAACCCAAAACCCATTTATGCATCGTCGGGTGCCGGGTGGGTGTGGCCCATTGGGTGGGCGTGGCTGCGGTGGTAACGGCAGACTGGGTGGGACTAAAAAGTTCAATCAATCAATTCCAACTTTGCAAGATCTTTTTTTTCCCCCGCAAGAAGTTGAAATTGACTGATTGATTGAACCGTTTTTTTTTTTTTTTTGCACATGGTGGCAGAGGCCTAAAGCGAAAAGCTTTAATAAAACCCAGCTGACTGGGGCAATGGCGCGAGTGCCCACAGAGAGGGCTCTGAGTGCTGCCTCTGGCACCCGTGCCATAGGTTCGCCACCACTGCTATATAGCATCTCATTCCTGTATAAAGAACATGTCTTTCACTGGCTTAAATGAATCACCTCCACAAGCAACAACACGATTTGATTTTAGAATCCTGAAGAATGGCTAGTAGTAGAGAGTAGTCACTTTTCAACATGATAATTTAATTTCCACCAAATGGTCAACAATAATTAGTAATATAATTTGAGGCATTAGAACAGATCTGAAGAGATATTTAAATGTATGGCATTGCTCTATCTTTTAGTATCACCAATTTGTTTATTTCTGGTTTCTTTTTTGGTTATGGAATGCCAAATAAGTGCCAAACGTATGCATACCTATTGCCTTCTTCCTCTAAAAAAACAGTAATGACTGCTTTTGCTTCTCTTAAGATTTGGTCATTTGCATAATGTTGAGAATGCAATTCTATTCTTGTTGATTATACTTCCTTTAATTTGTCTGTTCATAATGACTGTCAGCATTGACATGATTTTTGGGGACTAAGGTTTGAATGACTCCTGTTGTGGCTTTGACTCTGTAATGTGTGTTTGTACAGTATACTTTGTGGGCAAGTGGGGCTTCTTTCAGGATTTAAAGAATATAACCCAGAAGGTGGCAGACAGTAGTATATAATTATTAAAAAATCTTATTCTTGCTTCCACTGGCATAATAAAACATTAGTATGTTTTTTAAAAGGTGATCTTGTATAACAATATGATATTATTGGGGGGCAAAATTCATATACAATATCAACCCGAGCTTCGGTGAATCTGCCCTGAGGCTACTCACCTTTTACAACTCTCTTCCTCCACAGGAAAGCTAAGTATGGCTGACAAAGAGCTCATTGCTGTGGCTGTGAGTACTGTAAACCATACCCCTTACTGTGTAACTGCACATAGTGCCTCACATCGGAAGTACTCCAAGAAACCAACTTTAGCAGATCAGGTCAGTCCCCATATCTGCCTTGTTTGTCTCTGACAAGCATTTTCTTTTCCCTCATTAGGATCTAGTTGTATGAAACGATCTGTAAAATTAGAAGAAATGAATAAAATACAGGGGTTTGTTTGTTTGCTTGTTTGCTTAGTTTGTAGGCTGTCAGATCTATTAAGACTCTGGGCAGCAAACATTTTCAGGATGTATGCATGTATTGCCTGCCTAACTCATAATGTATGGTTCTTAGCAATGTACATCAGTAAAAACCAGAGTACCAAAAATGGATAAAAATAAAATAAAGCCAAGATAACAAACCACAGTTATATAGATGCCTATAACTGAGGTTGGCATAAAAAATGTTATTCTCCTGGCAGGAAAGAGGATTAGTTAACATGAAAGCTCAGTGCCCAGGAGAAAAGTGATATCTTCATTGCTCTAGGAAAAGCTAATAGAATTGGGGCTGCCAACTATCCCAAGATAGATAAAGCAGCAGAGAAGATGCTTTTTCCAGTTCCCATACTGCCCCAGAGACGAGGCCTGGAGCATGCTCATCTTGTGTAATCTAGTAGGACAGGCAGAAATAATCATGCGGTCCTGCTAATAATCCAGCCTTGTTTCACGTGGGGCTTTATGAGTGATAATCAGCACCTTGAATTGCATCCAGAAACCTACAGCTTGTGAAGTTTTGGTGCTCCATGAGTGTACAAGCATGCCCAGTATTATCCACTTGCTACTCAAACAGTCTGGACCTGTTACAGCTTTCAGATGGACTTCAAGAGCAGCCTCATTTAGATTTCATTGCACAAACCCGGCCAGGAAGTGACCATGGTGTGGGTGGATTTCTTGTATTTATATACAATAAGTTCAAAAAAACCCAGAAGAAACAAGTGATGCAAACAGAAGCTTGCTCTAAATATAACAGCTTAAAAGAAAGACGGAAAAGATTACTGAAGAGAATAAAACCCAAAAATGTTACGTCTCAAAGTTTGTATTTTGTTTTTATATAGGTGGTTGTGAATTGGAAAATGGCCGATCTAAGTGATCGGGAAGTGGCCATGCTTGAGTTTGCCTTTGCTGTCTCCAGAGCAGATAACATAACAGAAGAGCACTTTCAGAAGTTGGAGGCCCACGGATTTGACCGAGAAGATGCCTGGGACATAGGCTCCATTTCAGCCTTTTTTGCCATGGCAAATCGCATTGCTCTCTTCACAGATATGCGTCCCAACCCAGAGTTCTATAACATGGATAGACAAGAAGACAAAGTCCAATTTTCCAAATAAAGTTTGCTGGTGTTTACAAGAATATTGGCTCCTCATAGCTATGGCTAAGTCTGACTAATGGACATCACCACTTTCTATTACATGCAATACTGTACTTTCAAAGAGATTTTCTATTTGGTTGATATAGCACGTCTGGCTTATTTTCATATACTTAAATATTTCCTATACTTTAGATCAGGGGTCTTCAAACTTGGCCCTTTTATGACTTGTGGACTTCAACTCCCAGAATTCCTCAGCCAGGCAGTGACTGGTTGAGGAATTCTGGGAGTTGAAGTCTACAAGTCATAAAAGGGCCAAGTTTGAAGACCCCCGCTTTAGATAATCTATTTCTAAAAATTGGGGCTTATTTTATTTTTCTCTTATAATAATATTGAAAACCTACTTAAATAATCCTTTTGTATCTCTCAAATTTTCTATTTCGATCAAACATGTTGATTTTGGGTTCAGACTGCCCTTTGGGGAGTAACATAATCTTAAATGCTGCTATATAATTACAGTGATCAGAATACATAATTCTATCTATAACTGATTTGAGATAATTAGTCAGTAATTTTGACTGTAATTTATAGTCTGTGTTTAATAATGAAGTAGACATTAGTACAAAAAAGGTATTGTGCAATTTTTCCTGGCTTTAAAATGTGTAATTTTAGACTCATTCTGGGAGTTGAAGTCCACAAGTCATAAAAGGACTAAGTTTGAAGACCCCTGATTTATAGAAACAGAATAGCAGACTTCAAAATTTTGAAGGGGGTCTTCAAACTTGGCCCTTTTATGACTTGTGGACTGGCTGAGGAATTCTGGGAGTTGAAGTCCACAAGTCATAAAAGGGCCAAGTTTGAAGACCCCTGCTATAAATTTATGAACCTACGTATTGAATATCTTATGTTGATAACACTGGTTAACTCCAATTTATAATTCTTAATGTCTTCTGATGTCTGCTGATATATATATCAACTTACAACCATTCATTTAATGAATGTTCAGAGTTACAATAGCACTGAAAAAAGTGATCTTCTCACACTTATGACCATTGCAACATGCCCATAGTCACGTGATCACACTTCAGGTGCTTGGCAACCGCCCTGTATTTACAATGGTTGCAGTGTCCTGGAATACTAGGGAGCTTCTGACAGTGGGGGAAGCCAGCTTCATGTGATTCACTTAACAAGTGTAGTGGTTCATTTAACCATAGCAAAAAGGTCATAAAAGGAGGCATGTCTCACTTAACAATTGCCTTGCTTACCAATAGAAATTTGGGGTTCAGTTGTAAGTCAAGGAGTCTCTGTGTAATTTTTCAAAGAATTTTGAACAGTTAAGTGCTATTATTGCTATTGTACATATTGAACATAAATAATTTGTTTTGAACATAATCTTGTTTTTTTTTTACAAAATATTCCTAATAAAGTTCAACATCACAATATTTTTGCTTTGAATTTAGAAGCGGTATTGAAATTTTGTTTGTCACATGTTTTTTTAGTTGTGGATGTTTATAATACCTTTAGGAATTTATTTTTTTATAGTTTGCTTACAAATCTTTACTTTCTAGATCTATTTTATGTTTTTTCTTTTTAATTATGCTGTAACACATTGTTCGCCACACAATGAATTAATAATGTTAATAAATCAATTCTATCCTAATTTATTATTTTCCATATTAACTTCCCTTCTAAAGAATTAATTATCTCATGCACATACAACTTAATCCTCATACAAGCAGATGTTTTAATACTCTATTAAATATTTTACTTATTCATTCTAAAAAGTAGTTATTAATACTTTTTATATACGATATTCTTTCATTTATGATCATCATTTCCAGTTTGGCCAAATCTCCAAGGTTGTTCCTTGAGTTTGCACCAGAGGGAGTCTTTTTCAAGTCTGCTTTTATTCCTGTCCTGAATAGTATAAATTGTTTCTCTTCCATATGGTTGCATTATAAGTTTAAATGAAAACCTTCATTTCTATCAAATCTTTTTCATCAATCTGAAAAAGCCTTAAATGTAATCTTTTTCTGTAAGACAGTTTGTCTAATGTTTCAATAATAACAAACTTTGTCTCCTTCAGTTTGCAAGCTTCCTGAATAATTTTATCTCTAGTAAGTTCATTGAAAAAACAATTGGAATATCCCACAGTGTGTTCATCTTTGTAAGTATGCACTTTGGAACTGCATATGAACATCCTGTGAGGTGGGTTGTTCTGAGAGAAGGTAACTGGCCCAAAGCTGGTTTTCATATATAAAATAACAGTGATGGCGAACCTTTTAGAGACCGAGTGCCCAAACCACAACCCAAAACCCACTTGTTTCTCACAAAGTGCCAGGGCCGCATTAGCATTGTGGTGTCCTGGGGGGGGGGCATGGGGGCATGACACACTGGGTGGCATGGCTGTGGTTGTCATGTCAGACTGGGTGGGCATTGCAACCTTGATGTTCCTCATGAGGGGATGCCTGTGGGGGCCGGGCAGGGTTGGGGGAGATCCAGGGGGTCTCTGGCAGGTGGGGCGGTGGGCAGGAGGCCCAGCATAGATGGGGGGAGGCATGCAATCCTAGCTGGGACTGGGGGGCCATGGCACCGATGGGGATCTGGCTTTCCCTGCTTGAGGTGGCCTTTAGCTTGCTGGGTGTAGGCGTGCTCTACCACCTCTACTTGAGCTTGCTAGCTGGCCGCTTCGCCTCCTTTGTGCTGGGTGGGGCTGCCACTCCAGGCGCAGCCTAATGGACCTGCGCAAGCTGCTGGCAGCGGCGGCACGCATGCCCACAGAGAGGGCTCTGAGTGCCGCCTCTGGCACGCGTGCCATAGGTTTACCATCATTGATATATAAGATGGGACTAGAATTCACATCCTCCTGGTTTCTAGCCTGATACCTAAATCACTACATCAGGTTGACTTCCCTTAAAATCTGCAAGGACATGGGAACAACAGTAACTACTTCTCTTTTTGTTAATGAATTTTTTTTCTCACCTCATGTATGTTGAATTAAATTCATGAACATCTTAGGATCTGGGGACAAAACATTTTATTTTTAGTAAAATAACTTTAAACATCTTCCTTCTTCATATACACATGCAGAAACCAGCAGTTTCAAGGCTTCAGCAGAAAACCGTTATATAAACATATTTTAAGTAACAGCCCAAGGATATCAAGAAACCAGCCAAGGCCTCTTAAATTTGATAAGCAGGAGAAAAAAGTCTAGAACTGAAGCCCTGGGACGTGTATGTGTATATTTCAAGCCTAGTGCTGCTTTAATTGTGAAGCCAATTAAGGCAGCCTTGGACCACGTCCTCTCCCACCTCCAAATCTCAGTTGTGTTGTCTCTTCTCATCTAAACTTAATTTCCTCCTCCTCCTCTTCTCCATCCTCGCCTGCCTCGTACAGTCTCTCAGGGGCAACGTTTCCTACTTCTTCGGCATGGCTACCTCCCATCAATTCCGACCTCATTCCTCCCCACGCCAGGCTTAAAGTAGTCAGGAGCCCCCACAGCTTGGGCTGCACAACACAAGCTAGCTTAGCTTTAAGAGGCGTGCTCGCAATGATATCATAAAGGAGGCGGGTTTGGGGAGACAGTGCCGGGCATGCGTGCTTCCTCTCGCCTCAAAGACCCACCGAAGGCTGACGATTCGGATTGTTCGGTCCTGTTTCCGCAAGGGTACCATGATCAAGCGTTTTCTCCTTTCCGGCTTCCTCCACCTCCGCCGCCGCGGTGGCGGCTCCGTTTCGGTGAGTAGCGCTCCCCCAGTTGTCCCTCCCCGCCGCCCCTTAATATTTCAACCCTCCTCGCCTAGAAACCCCGGCTGTCGAAGGGTTTCCTGGAGCGGCGCTTGTTCGATCTAATTCAACAGGGGGCGCTTTCGACCAGGGGAGTCGTGGGGTTCAGCCCCTTTATATTTTATACTATAGGGTAGGTAAGAATGAGGAGACTAAAGGGAAATTTTCAGCTAACAGATCTTCTGTAACTGTGCCCCGTGATTATTTCAAATGAACTCTGGAACACTTTTTATTGTGAAATAGCCTGTTGCAAGGATCATCTTTCATGTTTGTATAAAAGCACAATCTTGCTTATTGCAATCCTTTCTCAATAGCGGTTTTTTTTTCCTTGTGTTCTTCAGAAATTTCCTGAGTACGGAGGGAGGCCATTATTTCACCAAAACTGAGAATCAAAAACACCTGGTCTCTGACAAAAATGTTAATGAGAAAAAAAGAGATGCAGCAACTCATTTAATACAGTTGCTGACACATATAAACACAGGCTGTCCATCTCCCTATGCAAAGTAACTCTGGGCAATTATTTAGTTGATATCTCTATCACATATGTGGCAAGATAATCTTTACTGAATTCTGAGTGTTAAAAGTTCCATATTTGGATAGTTTTTTTTAAAAAAAGGATTGCAGATTAAGGCTATCATTCTCATTTTCAAAAGTGAGTGTTCTGAGGCTGTTTCCCAACAGTTCATAGCATCATCCCAACCACCAGTGAAATAAAAGGTATAAAGCCTTTTTTTAATACTGTTGTTTTGGCACAACTCTAGAGAGCATTCTGAATCCCATGTAAGAAAATGACACAGTGAATCCCATAGTGTCCCTATTTTCTAATGTCATTTGGCCTTTATATAAAAAAATCCCATATCTTTTCATTCAGAATTTGAATATCTCTGAAAAAAATGAGTTTACAGTTCCCTCACTTCTATTTATTAAGAATTTCAAGACTGGGAGACATTTGGCCATTTTTCTGTTTCTTAGCCCATCTGCTTGCTTTCTCCTCACATACTCCTCACCAGAGTTGCTCCAATAGTAAGATAGGTGGCATATAAATTTAATAAAGAGAAAATATTCTGTTCTAAAGAGAAGAAAATCTAAGCCTGAACTGTTATAGCAGGAGGTAAGAAGGTTGTTCCAAAAATGGATCTACTACTAACAAAATCATTCATTCATTCTGAACTTTCATGAAAAGCTGGTAACGGTTGAGCCACAAACAGCTGAATTTAAGATTTGAATCTAAAGCAGTGATCCAAATACAAATTAC